AAACTGCGAACTTAGAACGCCGGTGCCTTACCTAAATCTGGATGAGACATTGGTCCGAGAAATTGCTCAATGAAGAAATTAAAAGGGAAAAAAGATACGCAAAAGTCGATTATGCAAAAATGGCGTTGAATCTCTGACGAACACCAGCTTGAAAAATAAACGGCTTTATTTCTCAATTCGCTTTTGTCAATCGCGTACGAAATCTTTTATTACCATGTTTACAATAAAGATACGGAATACAATTTATGGAGGTGTAACCGTAACACGTCATGTACTTAAAAACAGGTATCTGTGGGTTCTAGAAGGAGACACTGGTAAGGTGTTAGACGGATGGCCTGTCAAATTACCAACTGAAGTGCGAGCCACAGTTCTGCTCACTAAACTAGTTCCTGGAGAAAGTACTGCCGCAGATATAGTAAGTAACCTGTGCCGAATTACGAAGATTTTCCCTCATTAGAAGTTCGCCCTCTACCAGATGAGTTGCTCCTTAACAAATACGACAAGTTCGCTACTGGGTCTTTCAAACAATTTCTCTGTGGCTAACATTTTCCTAGACGAAATCGCGACCTGGTCTAATTGTCTAACAACACGTTTTTTTTTTTAATGTGAGTTACAGTATGAATGTAGGTAACCGTGAAACATTAACAAAAGCCAAGCATCTTGAGGAGAAGCAGATGAAGTTGCACCGTATTATCCCAATGTGACAAGTTGATCCATATCCTTCCATAGATAGTTCCCCTCATTGAGGGACAGATCGCAATCATCCGGGGTAGTGATCGCTGCACAGACCTGATCAGTGTTGGTAAGACTGTGCTGGGGAGTGCTGTTAGTGCTGACATAGTTCCAGGGAGGCTGGGTTTGGAGATGGTCCTAGGGGCTGATGATGGCACCCTGTTGTGTATAGCCCATACGCCAAATACACCAACAGATAGGTACATACCTACTGCTAATTTTGTTTGTTTCTTTTGTTTTGTTTGTTATTTAATCAATTGTGAAAATTAGATTGTTTAGTAATCTGTTAGCTAAATTGTTAAAATTGTCCTACATCAGTGAAGTTGTGGATCAATCTCAGTATCTAAGCAACTGCGCACTTACCCCTCCCTAACCCAACAGTCAACTGATAACAAGTTAGTCTTAATGTTGGCTTGGGGGAGGGGTGGGTGTGCAGTTGCTCCGATACTAAGTTAGATCAGGTTATTTTTTCCCGCAATGTTACCTTTGACGATACCTGCAAACTTGCACTTGGATAAAATTACCAAGAGAAGTGCAGTGTAAGTTGTATTCCTACGGTTGTTACTTTTTTACATTTGGGCGGGCGTATCAGAATATTCTAGTAAACTCTTTAGACGCGGCCTAAAGATCAGTGTGCTTCATTGATGATTGAAAAATCAAGGTTCTCTTGCCTTATATTTTCATTATATAATTATGGAAATTTTTTTTGTCAGTCTTGCCCTTCCTGTAGGCAGGAACCAACTGTTTTCATGGCCAGCGGAAACTTTGCCATGCAGTGGAACAACTTTTTACTCTGGAAAGGTAAACTGCCTTAACTTGTCTTCAAATAACAATTGGAATTTGGTTAGGTTCCTGATTGAGCTCGGTGACTCGCCTCTGTAGCCGCGGGAAGTTGTTTCTCAATGGATTTGCTAGAATTTATAACAGAAAGAGAGCCATAGTGTAACTATTGCTCTTTTTTGCAGTGGAATGTAACACTGCTTTTTCATGCAAATAAAAAAGGGAACTGAAATGAAACGGATTTCCAAGAGCAGCGGTGAACCGAAGAACATGCGATATTAACCTATTCGTTTAATTAAAAACGAACAAGCGGAGTCTGTTTTCCAAGTCGGGTCATGTTCGTAAACAGTGCATACAAAAAAAATCATATTTTGATTTGTGGATAAGATAGAGAGTGCATTATTGATCCTTACGTACACAGAATAACTGCAAGTAACGTCGCCGCTGAGATGTCTAGAAAATTCCGAACGCTATTACCGAAGCAAACTTTAGCGGTTTTTTTGTCCTTCTTTAATGAATCTGGTCATAATTATTATGTATGAGACAAGACTTTTTTTCCATATTTGGATTAGACATAAATTGAATGAGTGATCGTTAGTGGTTAACTGCAATTAAAGTCATTTTAAATAAATAATATAGAACCTTAAAAGAAATCCAAAAAAGGATAAAAGTAAAGATTCAATTCTCGACGGTGGTTAGGCAGCGTTCGTCCCCGGAAGGTACAGCGGGGTTCCATACCCGTCGATGCCAGACGTTTTTTTACCAGCGTCTATTTGTTTGTATGTTTCTTTTACAATCTAGGTTGGGGTACGGTTTACAACTAAATCTCTGGAAAATACACAGATTACCGGGAAATATTTTCCCGTCGAGTTTGAAATCAGAGATGAACAACCAAAGGACGTGAAAGGAAAATTCTACAATTTAAAGGTTTGTTCCTGTAGGGTTTTGACTGACCAAATGACTGAGTGGCTGACTGAGTGGGTGACTG